CCTACTTATGTTAAGTTAAAATGTTAAATACTCATAAAGAATATCTTGAAATAAGTTATTACGCTATGAATTATTTAATTCGAAAAAATATTTATTTTTTAATTAGATTCGCAAATTTTTTATTWAGCATTGTTCCAAAAAAAAAAATGTTTTGTTTAAAATTTACAATTTTCAGTATTAAAAAATAAACTATATTTTAAATGGTATACGATACTTGTTGCGCAACCGTCTATAAATTATATAAAAAAATCTGTCAAGTCACTCTGTAACACCTTTTAAAATTTTATATTATATTATATATATATAATATATATTGTATTCTGAACAATTAACAAGTTTCGAAATATACGAGTTGTCTATATATAATGTCTAGTTKTATAGTATGTGCCTATTAACTTGGGACATATTCGCGTACCTACTACCTAATAGTAATATAATGTCATATTATATACTTACAACCTGTAGGCGGCCATATGGGCTGCAGATGTATATAGATACATATTTGTGTGTAGACATCTATACATACTTCAGCACTTGTTTTACTCGTGTGTAAAAAAAAAGCAAATTTCATTGTGAAGGCTTAAAAATTATCTAACGAAAGTAGAACAACTATATAAAACCTATATAGTTCTCTCGCATTGGCGTATATAGCCTTTCGCATAGCCCACGCACAACACACGAATTCGAGATCCATAATTAGACATGCGAGATTGCAGGTGCTTCACGAATGAATGAAGCCCGTAAGATTTGTAGGTACGTTTCACTCTAAACGCTCACGCACTCGTTCCACAATGAATTCCGTGCAAATGTCCTGACACCTAGTGGATACACGATTACACGGGTTGAGAGAGTTTATATGCTACCAAATCATTGTGTGTATATACCTAAGTATAATGTATAATAAGTACATATACGAGTATAGGTATTATGCGCTTACATCCATTAGACAACAATTACCTGGCTACAACAGCCGTCTCACGAAAGTCGGCAAGTCAATTAGGAACTAGAGAATGCGTCTGGACGATTCTATGCATAAAAAGGTAAAAACTGTACGGTTTTTAATGTTTTTGAGCTATTCTCGTGTATACGTATACATGATGATAATGCACGATTTATGAATGTGCGTGATGTATAGAAATACATAATATATGGTTACAAGTTACAACTTAGCTATATGATATTACACGGCGTATTTCAATAAATTGTATAATAGTGAATTAATAACTATATATAGAGATATTAAATTGCTAATAGGTATATTTGAATAGGTTCCAAATAATAATGTGTTAGTGTTAGAATGATGCTATTGCAGCTCGCAGGTACCTATTATAAATAACTATATAATAAGACATTGGAACCTACTTTTAAAGGTAACTTATAAATACATAGTTGCTACCCATTTATCGTATAGTACCTATCTTCCTAAAACATTTTGTATTAGGWWTATTAGTRTTATACAAAATTGATCAGCGAACTCATCTTACCATGTTCGCAATTTGGTTCACGTTAAAAAAAAAGGTATTTTATTTAGGTGAGCTGAATTGGTTTCCGTTTGTGTTTAGTGTTGTCATTTAACCAATATTAATATTAAAAATATATTATACATTAATATATTGTAACTATTTAAAGATTATTATTGCAATATTAAATCATACATGAAAAACTGTATGATGGTCGATGGACTACGTTAATGGGACACTTACATAATTAAAATATTTGAAGAAAATTTGCTTCAGACTATATTATTACGATTCCAGCATTCCATTTTAAATTSAGTTTATTAATTATTATTATTATTWGTTATTACTAACAAGCTCACAGTCATATAAGCCTGTAAAAATKGGAAGAGGTACTCGGTGACAATTTTATTGTRAAAGTCGAGAGCTAACTCGARCGCACCCAGACAGTTAAAAATATCGATTTGTTGTTYGTTATAGTTAAAAAWAAATAAATATTTGTGGGGACTCAAAACTTGAAATTACTGCGCTTTTATTATTTATTATAAAAAWTTACGCTTTCAAAATATTTAAATAGTTTTAAACTATTTGTACWATRGAACCTATTCAAAATCGATCTACGGTACGTCGGTTGTCGGTTTATTGACTTAAAAGTTTATAATAACAATAACATAACATGATAATATGATGTATAATTGCATAATTTTATAAAATTAGTAATTAGGTGGGTCGTACTATAATATATAATGAATTTGTTTTAGACAAAAATTAGTTTAATCTATAGGTACCGTTTACCTATCATAATAAAAAATAATTATCTCTTAAAGAAACATAAATAATATTATATAAGTAATAAATTATTACTTAGGAAAATACTCTATAATATATATTATATATCAGATCATATAACCCCTCAGAATCATTTTTCATATTATGCATTGAATAATTATTTATCAAAATCAATACGCATCTATTGACGATTTCAGTGGCCTAATATAGGTACTCGATGTCATGAATATGAGAGAYACTCGACAACAAMTATACAACTGAGCGACTTTACGGKTTTTTTTGTTTTTTAATTRCCATCACTTAATCACGAATAATACGGATGTTAAACTGTTAAAATAATAGAAACTAACGCACAACCAATGCAGTTATACGCCTATACTAAAATACATTTTTAATTAAATATATAAATCACCTAGTATTCATCTAATTATGAATTATTKAATGTTTAATAGTGATCGAAATGATGAAAATGGATCCGGATATCATGGTGTACAGCYTATGGGCATTGACCGTTATCGGGGTATTTGCCGGACTCATAATGGCCGTGGCTGCAGCAGTGTTCGCAGTCATAAATTCAGCCATCACTCCTATATCTGCGCTAGCTGGCATACCCGGTCTTTACTTTTGGAACATCAGTGCAAGTAAATTACCTCCCCTCTACCGTTATGGAGTTTTGTCTTTTCTGACGGTTTTTGCATTTATTTTTTTTCAGTGTTTTTTCAACTGTTAGCAGGCAGCTTRTGGGTGGGCCAATATTTCCAGAGACTGCAGTACAATGTAATGAATAAAGACGACCGACGAAATAAATGGACGTCAGAAGGAAACGCTTCACTGGGACTCTCATTCTGGTGTGTTCCATTGCTTTTTCATTTTTCYATTTTAACTGCGCTACAATAATTATTCTCGACAATTAGGTGGGGTGGTAGCCRGTAGGTTATGAGTAATGATATTTATAACAAAAATATGAGTTTACAAAAATGCAATACCTATAATAAAGACGAGATTCGTTGTCGTCGTCCGCAGCAGTCACAAGTACAAATTACAACTGTACAAGCACTGCAGCCGCATCGATTGAGTACCACCCACGCTTTTCCTTTTATTCGCCATAACCACCTACAAGACACAAAAAGCGCGACTCCGTCGACTTTTTCACCTTTCGAGATCACGAGGTTACTCTTAGAGGCAAAGGCTTCTCTGTTCTGTCTCTTTTTTACCACGTCTATAATAATTCCTAAGAATACTATATATCTATAGTCTCACAATGACACAGTTCACCTTCTTATTTGTTGTTGTTTAAATGTAATTCATTTTATTTGCAACGACAACGTTCCACGATCATTGTCCGTTTAATTCATTTTTGGATAGTATTGTGTTCATTTTACAATCATTCCGATTGCGAAATAAACTGTACATTATTCAACCTTGTCTGGCCATCCGCGTCTCTAGTACGTTCTGTCTAATTTCTAAGTTGAATTAAAGAAAAGATATAAATTTCGTTTGTACCTCTGCTCATCCATAGCATACCAACGACCAACACTACTTGAGCGGGATAACTATATGATCATTATGACACAATTCACAGAGATCACACTTCATGCCATCATCCTACCTATGCTTGAAGAAAGATTATAAAAGAATAATGTATTTTGTTACTGGGAGGAGAGTAAAAGAGAAAAATGATAAGTATTGAAAAGTTAAAAATGGGCAACACATAGTTTGCAGGCGTTGGGGTGATCACTTAATGTAGATAGTTCTATATGAGACGGAGAACATCACATTTTATGGAATAGTTGTGGCCCAATAACCTAACCTGTATAGAAATGAGAATTAAAATCAGGAAAGTAAGGTGTGACACAATTTGACTGGGTTGTAATAAAAATATATCATAACCTCTTTTCAACAAATTATTCTTATGTGTCATTTAGTTTTCGTTAAAAGATCCTATAAGTAATTTTGGGAAGTGTATCATGAAAATGGCTGCTCACAATCAGTACCTAGTCAACAAGAATAATTAAAAATCATAGGAACAAAATGTTTACATACCTAACTTGAAGTATACAAAAGGAATATACATACCATTAAACCACTTAATTTACATTATTAGTAAAGCAACCAAGTTTTCTAGTTTATGCCAAAATATGAATATGGGGAATATGGCTGTTCAAAMTGAATATTTAGGAATTTAATAGTTAATACTTGAAATTTAAAACTACTGTAGTAACTTTCAACATTAACTAAGAGTCAAGCTTTAGTTAAAAACTCTAAAATAATATTTTGATTGTTCAGGTTTATAATTCTTGCATCCATTTTGCACATGCTGAATATTTTCATTGTGTTCTGGGCAACCAGTAATCGCTCAAGAAAGTCACCATCGCCAATCATTGAAGAAAAAACCAAMGGAGCAATCATGCTGTATTAAAATTTAACACTGTATAATTGCCATCAATTTCAATAATAATTTATAAATGTATTTAAATGTAAATAAATTGTCTTTTTTATACTGACATATTTTTTTTAAAGTTAAGTTATTAGAATTTAGTACTTAGTCAACTCCAGATATGTTATCAGTTTACACTCTGAAAGAATTGTAATTACAAACATATTCTAGGTGGATTAAATATAGTGGTCAATGAAATGTTTGCCATTGCATTTTGTTAATTTTACCCAAACTACAAACAGTAGATTAAAACAAATTGATTCTACCTTGGAACCATCCCAATTAAATTTTTTTATATAATATAATATATATATATATATAAGGTTTAGAAGTTTAGATATTATACAGTCTATAATATAGATGRTATAATCAGAACTTTAAGGACTTATTAAATTTTTAGTTACATACTTTTATAATATAATGTACTACATGCATTAGTYCATTGTTTTTAAATCAATAACTCATGAAGTCATGACTCATAAAGTTTAGATTTATATTTGTTAAAAAGTTTGAAAYATAATATTTATATGCAGCAAAAATTAATGAGGGGCGTAATAGCCGGGCAGATTTAGGCGTCGGTCGCGACATGCATCGTTGCCGGTTCGAATCCAGTCATGGGTGGCATCACTTTCTGGGGGCAGTTCACACTGTCTGAAGTGAGAAGCCGCCGGCCACCCCTCCCCCCACCGGCATGGCAGAAACCTACGAGTGTTCACTAGAAATTCTGTCAAAAACACACACACACACACACATATGAACCAAAAACCTACCCAACTTTAAAAACTCTACACCCAATGGCCTATGTTTCCGAGGGTCAACTAAATAAAAAAAATAATGAAATAGTTCAAAAATATTCTAAAATAAAAATCATTTGATTGTTATTTATTTTTTTAGTCATAATTCAAAAACGTATAATTATAAGCAAAATAATAATAATAAAAATAATGAAAATTTCTTAAATATTTTATTATTTGATATTTTGTTAAATTAAATGTACAATAATATGTTGTGTCATATTTTAAGGAGTAAAAATAGTATTTCTGAAGTTTGGTTAGTCTGTGACTGTTGTCTTATATACGCTGAATAATCTTTCAACATATACACATGTAATAGGAGATTATTTGAGGTCTGTGGCTATACTGGTTGGCATCCCAATAATATTATCATAATAATAATTGTAAAAATAATAGACATGATGCAATGACATGTAGCTAGATTTTATGAATTATGATTTATGATTAATAACAATTTATTTATCACAGAAAATTACAGAATTTATGACTAAAAATTTAAACTAAACTAAAACCTTGAAAAAAATATGTTAAATAATAATAATAATAATATGTTAAATTATTCTTTAATAGATATTCTCTAAGATCAGTGCTTTTACTGGATGGTGTCTTCTCTCATGTTGCTTCATGTTATAAATGCTCACTTATCACATATTCTCATAGTGCTCAAGGACACTGAATGTATACCTCTTTAAATTGAATGAATAATAATCTCTAAGATCAGAATATATACTAATATGAAAAAAAAAACTTATTTTGATAGATTTTAYAGATTATGAAATGCAAAAATTTCTTATTTCMACCAAACAGCATACGCCCGTTAAAAATATGTTTTTACATATAATCTGGACTCTACTACTTATAATGCTTGTTTCTGTTAATTTATTATATATTTTCTCAAGTTCAGTTTTTGTACCTAAAGTAATATTATTATTAGGTATAATATAGCATTACATGAAACTCATAACATTATATTTTATATAATATAAATAATATAATAATTGGTATAATTTCTCTAAAGAGCAAATATAATGTAAATCATTCTAAGGACAGCAAAAAATAAAAACATGATTACATAAACATTTGACATTTTATTTTATTTCAACAAATTAAAAATATAATTTTAACAAAAAACCCGACTATTAATTTAATGACAAGTGCCACCAACAAGTCTAACCCAAAAGTTAAATATACAACAAATTATTAATAAAAGAAAAAATTTCAAAAAATAGTAAATACCTATTGACTATGTGTTAAAGGAAAGACGATCTATACACAATACACATTATACTGTTTGTACGTGAAAACTTAATTTAATTATTCATTAACTATATTATCTTAATAACTAACTATAAGTATTATCGAGACATATTTGACATATTTTTTGTCAAATTAAAACATAATATCATTAAAAGAACTATAGTAAATTTCCTTATAACAATTAAAGAAATAATTTTATTTTTATTGTTCATAATATAGTAGGCTTCCAAAATTATAATTAGGAGGGCACTACACAGTATACATGATGTAATTGTTTTAAACATGGGACCTGAAAAATATGAAGAGACAAACAGCACAATTTTGTAATTGCCCATCTACAGCCTTTGATAATTATAAATTATAATACATCTACTATCTTATATTCTAACTTATTAGGTATATGTAATTACAAATTAATCTTTAAATATGTATCACACATTCTGGTATTATGAAATCATTGTGTATGTTAGTTTATTTAAAAATCTAAATTTATCAATTGACACATACAGCATCCAGAATATATATTTTATTAAAAGAAACAGCACTTTTATAATATAATATTTAATACATACAGTAGTGGCTTTACAATTCCATGTCCATTAAAAACTGACAAATATGCATATCAACATATAATCATAAACCTAACAAAATAAATTCCTTATTTTTTTGTTAACAAAAGTAACACAACAATAATTCAATAAGTAAATACATTTTTGTCCCCATTTCAATCAGTTAATAGTTACACATTTAATCAAATATTTTGTTTTTGTATTTGGTACAATCAATGAACAGTCTAATATTTCCAACATTCAAGTTTAACATAAATACATGAATTTAAATATAAAAATGAATATTGTTCAATAATTTAATTTATTTTTCCCAAATTATAAATGAGTATATTAATAAACCCATGATAAATAATTAACCATCTAAGAAATAATTAAAATATGTTAATTATAGTTAAAATCTGTACATTAGAAATAATTAAACTATTTAATTTTTGAGCTAAAATTATATATTTTAAGTACAATAAATCTAATTTCAACTTATTAATTAAATTTAGAGTGAAAATACAATTTTAGTACAAAATGTATTAATATAAATTTGTATAAAGTATTGAATTACTGGCAGTGCTTAATATAAGTTGGGAAATAGTGTAACCATCAGCCAGTTTGTAACCAATCATTGCAATAATCAGAATATTTTTTTAGACATGAATTGTAATAAAAATAAAGAATTGAAAGCCAACAACTAAATTGTGGATATATAGTAATTATTAAAAAAGGTTCTTAGTTAAAAGACATCTTAAATGTTTTAAAATAAAGATATTTAACAGTTCATAATTTTTGAATACAATAAACTAAGCCACTTGAGTCTTATGTCAATGTTTTGTCAATAAAAATAAAAATAAATAAACGTCATATTAAAATAATAAGAAAAACTTGACTAGAATTAGAATAGTCTGTTTAAAAACTCTAAACGTAGTTAAATAAATAAATGAAATATAGTTTTAATATTTTGATTTAAATTATAATAAACTTGTGAATTATGATTAGATACGCAAGCAAATTTAATTAAGAACGAAAATTTCAAAATTATAACAAAACAGTTTTAAAAATTTATCAAATACACACAAATTATATATTACATAACATATAAAGTATGTATTAAATTATCACGAATATTTATTATTAATATAATAATTATTTATTATTTAAACTCTACATGCAAGATTTTTTCATTTATATATGTTACAAATTTATTTTTATACTATAAAAATAAACCTAACCTATATTATATTTGATATCTTTTCATTTTTTTATATTAACAATAWTAATAATACATAATCTATTTATTAATAATCATGAAACAATATTTTTTAATATTTTAGTGTGGTTATAAATATTTAATGCACAAATTAATTTATAAGTTCATGCTTATTTACTTAATAATATTCAAATTTTTGGGAAATTTATTTAAATTAAAATTCCTAATGAATAATCTTATGTATTTTATATATAATAAATAGAGCAGCTCAAATAAATATCAATAATTTCTTTGAACCCTGTTAAGGTACATATCAAACATAACAGTTTTATAGTATGACTCTCATAAAAAAAAATTCTAATATAGTGACAAGCATAATTAATAATAAAAATATTGAGATTTAAAGATTTATTTGTACATCATGAAATATTGAAATATAGGAAACTCACTACACTGTAAAAGCATAAATTATTCTTGTTCAGATTCTCCTTCGCTTGAATAGTCTTGTATTGAAATAGGCCGTGAAAATGGCGTGATTGTCATTTGACTATAAAATAAAATATGGAAATATACTATTTTCTGCCTAAAAATTGTATTTAAATTATTCTTACGCTTGCTTTCTATAATAATTCAACCATTCTTCAAGCATTTGAGCAACCAACAATGGTCGTTTATGCAAACGCTGCCGAGCTAATAACAAACCGTTTTCTGTTAAACAAACATCTAACCATTGTTTTAAAATATTCTCTTCATGTCCCATCTATAAAACAAAAATTTTAAAGATGAATAAAAAATACAAAATAACAATAAATTAAAAATATAAAAACATTTTACTTCAGATTTGGTAACAAAATGTATTGGTAATAATTTGTGATCATGATCAACAAGTGGCAAGTATGTAGTACTCTTTCCCCGAGGTAATGGTTCAACAGGCACCAGTGAAGAAAAATGTCCTCGTGTATAAGCCAAGGTTATTGGAGATTTAATACAAAAACTTGATTCCCATAGAAGTGGTAAGTAAACACCTAAAACCCCCCAAAAAATGTTCAAAATCAATATCTAAAACATTTTAAATAATTATATATTCTAGAATAGATAAAACAGTGTTAGTAAAAAGTTCACTTAAAATGATCATCTGAAAATATTTACAATAATATAATAATACAACAATACACAGCTGTATTCATTTTGATATACTTAATATTTCAATAACTAACACACTACAACTATAATATTTACTATAAATATTCAATTTATTACCTTCAAAATTTGTATAACCTAAACGGTCTCCACGATAATTTTTCACATATTTAACAGCATATACAATAATTGGTCGACGCAGCACATGAGCTAATGCAAATACATGCAGTTGAGCTAAACTTGACCCAGGTCTTTCAGCTTGAGATACTAATGCAGCCCAATCTTCAGCCCATTGATACTCATCTAAACAAAATTCTAACTGTTTTGCTTGCCATGCTTCATACTCTTTCCATCTTGGATAAAACCTACATACATTAAAAACCATAAGTTAAAAGACTCATAAATAATATATAAGGTACTCACATCATGTTGCTTTCATGTAAACAATCGGCTAAAGCTTTCCTTAGTATATTGTCTTTATCAAAAATACCCCAGGTAGACTGCATTAAGGAATCCAGTAAACAATCACCAGCTGAACGATTCCATAATGCATATAGTCTAGAACATAATCCATCACAGACTTCAGATGACCAATTAATTACAGGTGGGACTTCCTCAATTTCCAATTCTTGTTGAACATTACGATCAAGTAGTTCATCGAGTAGTTGTCTTTGAACTGGTCTTGGAAGTTCTTCAATTTCTAGAAGTTGAAAAATATTATTTAAAATTTAATAATTTGTTACCTTAACATTATATATAATTAATTTACCAAAAGGTAGGGAGAATGTTGCAAATTCTGTAACAAATGGACACGGCATTAAGGATTTTCTTACACGTATTGTRGAAAGAAAATGTTTTCCAATCTCATCAGCTAGTTGATGTGCAACATGTGAAGGTACTCGTTTTACAGTTGTTGAACTACTAGTAGCATTTATTCCATTCAAAAGATTTGATAAAATTTCTTCACGATGAAATCTATGTAAAATATAAAAAAAAATTAAAATCATGGCTTATTATAATTTAAAAGTAATATTTCATGAATAATATAGAAAAAGGTAATAATAAATGTTTAACATTTAATCTATAACACTACTACCAATAGGTATAATTATTTATTTTTAAATAAAAAACAACCTATAATAATTATAAACATAAAAAAAATTACAACAGAAATAAAAATTTTAAAATAGCAATACAAGTAATAGGTAGTAGGTACCAACATAATATTATATATAATTTACTTGTAAACAAACCCATTATAAATTATAATATTTTAAAATATAAATAATACTGTACCTAACAGCAAGGTGAACTAATGTGTGTCCAGTATCAAACGCTGATGGTCTATTAAGTAATGTTACTTCAGTTGATGTCAATGACCTGGTTGGATCACCACCCGCGTGTAAATAAGCAGCAATAGGACTCCAATCACCTTGAACTACGCCTACACAAGCAGCAAGCCAGGCTCTATCATAGTTACTATTAATGTCATCCAAACGACGTCTTGATGAAGATCTACAAAGAATTCAAAATTTATTTGTGTTTATTAATTAAAAATTTAATGATTACATCAATTAAGTATCAATTTATATTTAATAAATTTGAATTGAAAACATATTTTTAACTAACAATTAAAATGAATCAGTTTTGTAAGAGCTGACACATTAACATTTAATTATACAATGTCCCACGAGGGTTAAACCATTCTGATATCTCACGAAATAATGGAGATATCAAAATTTTGGTTTTGTAACAAGACTTACAGGGATAAGAATTATAATTATTTTGTTTTTTAATTTATTTTAATGTTTTGGTAAAAAATGTAAAAAATATATTTTTTTATTTAATTATTTAAAAAAAA